TAAATATCTGAATATATAATAAAATGTTTATCATATAATTATACAATTTTTATTTAATTTTTGAATTATTGTTACGTGTGTTCTCAAGTGTTTATTGTATAGACATATAAGTTATATCTATGTATGGCAAATTCATTGAATAATTATATATAGATCATTCTCAATTGAAATATACATAAGGTTTTACGGTTAATAATTAAGACTAATGCATATGGTTAAAGGAGGTGACTTATTTTAAATGGTTATTTTTTTATGTAATGAACATTTGAAAACAAACATTAAGTTGAGTGTCTAATTGAAGCAATTTATCATATGTTTTGGTTCTTAATCGAAATACATGATTGAAACGACATTAAAGTGGGACATAAAAATTTAATATCATAAAAAAAAATATGACTTTCTTGAAAATATAAGAACAAATATGATCCTAAAATTGAATATCATAAAAAAAAAATGACTTTCTTGAAAATATAAGAACAAATATGATCCTAAAATTGAATGAGGTGAAAAATAGGACAATGAAGGAAATATGTTGTTGGAGATAAGGAGATGTTGGATATATCCGCACTTTCTCCACCCTTTTTTATATTTTTTATATTTATATAGCCTTTCAAAATTTGTCACTAAATTTTTCTCAAATATCCAACTTACGATATGATAAAAAGTTTATATTAGACATTTTAAATTCAAATTTTAAATTATTTTTATGTATGTTCTCAAGTGTCTATTATATATACAAATAAGTTATACATATAAATATGTCATATCTATCAATTAATTAATTATATACACATCAGTCTCAATTGAAACATATATGATGTTTTGTGCTAATTATTATGGCTAATACATATAGTTAAAGAAGCTGACATATTTCAAGTGGTTAATTTATCTATGTAATCGGCATTAATTGAAAACAAATATTAATTCGAGTATCTAATTGAAATAATTTATTATATGTTTTGGTTCTTAATCGAAAGTACATATGATTGAAACGACATTAAAGTGGGACATATAAATTTAAAATCGTAAGAATACAAATGACTTTTTTGAGAATAGAAGAACAAATATGATCCTAAAATTGAATGAAAAGAACAAATATAACTTATCTGAAATATTACATTTTTTGGTTCTCATAATTAAATTTTGATACACAATTTCATTGTTAGTTCTTGCTACTTACATTATTGAGGTTATATATACTTCTTTGAAGATTCCCATTGCCTTTATATAGCTGCCAATCTTGAATTTGTTAGTATTACTTTATGATCTTGAATTTGACCTCTTGTCCTTGCAAGAAATCCGTGCAACCAACCCCCTTTGTTAATTAAATTAATTGAACCCATCTAACACGTTTTCTCCTTCAAAGACAAATTATTTTCATTGCCTATTGATCTTAGTTAGAGAAGAAAAAAGATTTTCATTGATGATTAGCAATAAATTATTTCATGTTATTTTCTTTGATTTGATTATCATATTATGTATTGTTGTTATGTTGTACTGTTCTTCATTATGTTCAACATGACTCCTTCACTACTGTATTTTTCTTATTTAGTTTTATTTTATTTTATTTGAACCGAGATTTGATTAAAAGAGTTTGAAATCTAAATGATAGGCTAAAAACTAAGAATTGACCAAAATAACATGTAGAAATAAAGTTTCTATTTTCTACATATAGCGCTCTAAAAATTAGTGTGCTATTTAATGACCGTTAAGGAATAGCGAACTAAATTAGTGCTCTATATTGAGTCATTACTCCCTCGGTTATTTTTTAGTTGTCATGATTTTCTTTTTTAGAGTTAAATGATACGACTTTTGATTAATATTTTATGATGTATTTTTTCATCATATTGATATGCAAAAAGTTTACAATCTATAGTACTTTTTGTATAATTTTTGAATATCTAAATTTTTAGTTTAAAATATCGAATTAATGTACTATAATTTAACTTTAAAAATTAGTCAAATTAACTTTCGACAAGCGCAACATGACAACTAAAAATGAACGAAGAGAATATATTTTCTTTATAAGTGCAAATAAGGAAAGTGATGTTAAACTAGATTGGTTGATCACTTAATTAGTTAAACCAACTTTACCTAGGGCAAAGCGATAGTGTTCCCAGGTGGTCAGACGAACACCCTTTATCGAAAAATTATATCAAATATATATGTAAAAACTTATTTTTATATGAATATCTAAAGGCTTGACACCATTGTGTATGTAGGAGTGTACAAAATCGAATCAAATAGCAAATCGAGTTAAACCGAAAAAAGAGTAATGATTTGGTTTGACGGGTTTGGTATTGGAAAAAAAAATCCGACTATACTTTGGTTGGTTTGGTTTTAACTAAAAAAAAATTCAACTCAAGACTGAACCAACCCGACATTATATATATAATTTTTAAAATTTATTTTATGCATACAAGTATTTACTTTAATATAATTTATAAATATTTCTTATACTTTTTCATAATTTTTTTCTTTTAACATATTATTTCAAGATTTTGAGACTTAGCTAGTGTTTCGCCTCAAGTTCTCAAATATTCTTGGCAAATCATATTTGGATGAAGTTTTTGGTGAAGTTTCACCATGTGTTTGGCCCTTAGATTTCCCAAAAATATTTGACTATTTCAAAAAATATGATTTATACCCATAAGTTCTAAAAAATATTTAAAACACCTATAAATTTATATTATCATCCTACAATGAATATGTTCCGTTAAAAATAACCTTATAATATAATTGATTACAATCAAGAATAACAAAATAACAATATAGGTAAGACAATACATTAATTGCATACTCAAACTTATCATTGATTCAATTATAATTTTAACTCATTAAGCACAAATTGTTCCTTTTTCTCAATTTTATCACTCAAATTAGAACTCAAACTTTTTTGGAGGAGGTAGTAACAAATATTAGTAGGAATTAATAAATAATGAGTATTTTTTATAAAATATAAAAGTTTGGGGTAATTATTGAATTTTTTAAAATTTTCAAATATTAGAACTTGGCCCAAATACTAATTTTCTCTAGTATTTGAGAACTAGGGATCCTTAGAATTTTTAATGGTCCATAAAATTTATAGTCCAAAAATATTAGTAACTCTTAATATTATTCCAATATTATTTTAATTATGAAACACCCGCACTGATTTTTTTTAGTAAATTTTTTATGGACTTTCTCTTGGGTCAAATTGAGACCAATTTTGAAACACCCTACTTGTTTATTCTGATTTGACTCGACACCTTATTTTTTTAATGGAGTTTTTTGTTGTAACAAAAAAATAAGGAAAAAAAAGTTCATTTAATTCCTTAATAATGATTAGCAAATTATTATGTCCTATGAGTTTAGTGGCCATGCCTTTCTTTTTTCTAAAATAAAAAATATCTGCACCAAATTCTTTTTAATTACCTATGAATGATGTTATCGAAAGTGTTTATTGGTTCGATTTAGATCGATTTTAGAGTAAAAATTAATTTAGTCAATTTTTAATTATTAAAATTAAACCAAATCAAATATTATACTTTATATTCATCGATTTGGTTGTTGTTTGATTTAGTTTGAGTTTTTCAGTTTTTAAGAAATATAATAATATTTTTCTCCTAAATAAGAAAAGAATTTTTTAACTTATATTATCATTATTAACCTTTTATTGTGGTTGCAATATTTTTCTTAGATTATGCAGAAAAAAAATCTTAATATCAATAAGCTTTAATCAAGGTGATAAGAAATACAAAAATTATATATAGGTAAACTCATAATTATTTCTTTGAATAAATGAGTTTGAATGTATTTTTTTTAAAATAAGTGAGCTTAATAGATGGTAAGTTCATAAGCCTATTAGAGAAAACAACTTTTTCATGAAAAAAAAATATACAAATTAGTTAAAATTATTTGCAACAATATATTGTATAATAGAATTTTCATGAAAATCATACAAAATAGTTAAAATTATTTATATAAAAAAATATTGTATAATAGAATTTCCATGAAAAAAGTATATATAAAAAAATATGTTGTGTATATCATTTATCAGTTCATTTTTTTATTCGTCTTGTTTTTAATAAAATCGAACCAAATATTATTAATTTTTAAAAATATAAATCAAAACTAAATAATAACCAACTTATATTATTTATTCAGTTTGGTTGATTTTTTATTTCATTTGATTTTAATTAAATCGTGAATACCCCTAATTGTCACTATGGGCCCCTGGTCAATTATTTCATCTATTTCACTTTATTTAACACAATCTTCTTATTAATCCGTTTATAAAAAATGACATACATTGTCACGAATTTTTTTTTATAATCATGTAAATATCAAAATATAATTATAGCCACACAAAAATTATGATATATTTAAATATATAAATCTACTTATATAGGATAGCCTTGCTACTCCAATACTTTCAACCTTATTTCCTCAGTTTTAATATCTTAAAAAAAGCTTACATTGAGTCAAATTATGTCAAAGTAAATTCAAGTACATCGAGTGGTAATGCTAATTATTGTATTGGTTAAACAAGTAGCAAAAAAGGTATAATATATAAAAATGCCATTTAATTTGCTTTTATTGACACTTATATAATTAATTTTGGTTATATATAAATAGATACTTAAACTTTTATATAATTAAACAAAAAAATATCTACGTGACGTTTTATGTGACAATTACGTCATACGTAGTGTCCTACAAATATTCTGCCATATAGAACATGTGTGAAGCTAGAGCCTCACGTCACGAAACGAATATTTTGTTTTCAAATCAGCTTCAAAGAATGATCGAGACTTATCTTCCTAAAAAAAAGAGTCTTCGTTTGAAATCTTTTTTATTTTTTAATTCCTTAGGTAATCAAACCGAGGTTTCAAGCCAGTCAAGTCAATTGTTTCAAAAGAAGAAAATAAAGGTCGAATTCAATAACAATCAAGTCCAAGTTAAATAATATGTTTATATATTATGTCAGAGAAAAGCTAAATATAATAGGAGAGAGAGAGAGGGGGGTTTATGAGAGTTGTTGTAAGAGAGTCCTGCAATGTGGGCAAAATAGGGTGGCGCACAAAGGAAGAACCAAACAAGACTACACATCCATACTTACCTTTACTCGTTTCTCGCTCCATCCATAATCACGTCTATCAAGGAATTTTCCCTTTTCTCTTTAAACTTCCCCTGTTTAAACAACAGAGAGAGAAGTGTGTTTGTGTCTAGGGACATCACCTTTGATTATTTTCTTATCTCATCCATTCAATTCTGTAGAAACAAGCCGGACCCATGTGAGCAAATTATCCTTTTCACGCCTTTCAATTTCGTATTTTTGTTTTTCTTTCTTTGTCGTTTTTTTTTCTTCTTTCTTCCCTATTAATTTTGCTTATGTGGGTTTTCATGTTTCCGTGAAAATAACTTATGGGTGTTTGTTGGTTTGGTAGCTTGAGGGTTCTATTTGGATATAGCTATAGTGGAGTACTATAAGTTTTTAAAAAAAGGTTCTTTTCTTGAAATTATACTTTGTGAAATTTATATTGTGTGTGGTTGGGATCCTTGCTGGATCTATTTGTGTTTTTTTTGGTTATTGTAATGTTGAAAGTACAGATGAAATTGCTGTTTACTTGGTTGTTGTGTTTGTGATTCTCTTTTGTTTTACTAAATTGTAGTAATTTTTTTTTTTCCAAAATTTCTTAGGCTTTTCGAGGAGAGAATATTTCAGTACATTGTAAAAGGTGATTTGTTGTGGTGGGGTTTCATGGGGTGAACTCAAAGGTATAATGGGTAGCATTAGTGATGATGAAGAATGTGTATTTTTTGATGCCTCTGAGAATATTGGCCAAGTACCTGATTTGGGTTCTATTGAACCCCAGGTGCTCAAGTCCAGCTCCAGGATTGATAATTGTGTCACTAGTAGCTACCAGTATGATGTGTGGAGTAGAAGTCCCAGCAGTGTTAGAGAGCGTCGTAGGGAATTCTTTAGTTGGATGGGAGAAGATCCAGTAGATGTATATGGAAGTTCTGATTCTAGTTGTGAAATTGAAAGGATTATGGAGAGTAGTGAGGCTGTGGTGCGAACCTCAATTCTTGAAGACGAATTTCCTTCTCGCCAAGTTCCTCTACCTGGTTTGTCTGTTGGTGTTTTGGGTTCATATAAAGAGTTGGATTCAAATGAGACATTTGTGTGTCGGAGTGGCAATCCAGATGGTGGAAGAGAGTGCAATGTACATGACCAGGCTGAGAATAATCACAGAACTACGAAATTGGAACGACAGCAACTTGGACAACAAGAATTTGAGGCCAATGGAGATGCTGGGAGGAAACTGAATGTGGTCAAGAGGCGTTTAATAAGTAGATTGCGATCATTGACGTGCATTGTAAATGACCAAGGGAGAAGTAACAATTCAAAGGTTGACAGCTCCAGTGCTGTCCAAAGGTCTAGGGTTCAGAGGGCTAAGGTTCACCATAGAAAGAAGCGATTAAATGAACTCTCTGGACTTTTTGTGGGGCAAGATATCCAGGCTCATGAAGGTTCAATATTAACTATGAAATTCAGCCTTGATGGGCAATACCTAGCCAGTGCTGGTGAAGATAAGATTGTGCGTGTATGGCAAGTGGTGGAAGACGAGAGATCTGATGAAGTAGATATTCCAGACTTAGATCCATCTTGCATGTACTTCACAGTGAACCATCTTTCACAACTTGCTCCTTTGGTGACAGAGAAAGAGAGAATCAATAAATTGAGGGGTCTAAAGAAAACAACAGGGTCTTCCTGTGTCATTTTCCCGCCTAAGGTCTTTCGAATTTTGGAAGAACCGCTGCATGTGTTCCGAGGACATAGTGGTGATATATTGGATGTTTCGTGGTCAGAGAACAATGTATGTTTATTGCTGCTCTATACTTGATTAAAGCTTTCTGAACAATTCTGGATCTAATCAAGTTTTCTTTTATGATTTATTATTCTTGCAGTATTTGCTTTCATCATCAACGGACAAAACTGTTCGTCTGTGGCAAGTTGGATATGATAAATGCCTCAAAGTTTTTTCGCACAGTAATTATGGTATGCACCAAACATTTTGTTATAACATTCTATACTTTTCTGATTCAGGCTTGTTTTTTTGCTGATTTGCCTAAGTTTCTGTCATTTTAGTTCCAGACTGCATTACTCACTATTTTCTTTCTTTTTGTTTTTCAGTGACTTGCATACAATTCAACCCAGTAAATGATGATTACTTCATCAGTGGTTCAATAGACGGAAAAGTTCGCATTTGGGCGATTAACAGCGGCCAAGTTGTGACTTGGACGGACATAAAAGACATTGTGACTGCTATTTCCTATCGTCCTGATGGGAAGGTCGTTAGTTTGTCTCTTTTTTCCTTTTTACAAACTTACCTCATAGATCCAGAAATCCAAGCAGTTTATTAAATAAGTTATCTACTTCTCATGCAGGGTGGGATTATTGGTTCTATAGCAGGCGCATGTTGCTTCTTTAGTTTAATAGGTAATGTTGCCTCTTTTCCTTATATATACCAAAATAGCATTGATCACCTGCAGTTAGGATTTATATTTTTATTTAAGAGCTTTTAGCCCTTTTGTTGCTTTGTGTCAGTTGATTAACCATCAAGCTGATTTTAGGTAGATAACCATGCACAATGTCATGAACTTAACGTACTTTTTTTTTCTTTTGTTATGGGTGCGTCTGGTTGGAGAGTTTGCCATTTTCATTTCTGTCTTTTGATTTTTATCAGAGTAGTATTTCCGTTACCTGATAGTAGTTTTAGTTTGTATGAGCATCATATGTTAGTCACATGCCAATTTCTGATGCACATTATATAAATTCTTATGATATAGCAAATGAAAGAATGCGGATATAGTTTACAGTGACTTAGAATTTGTGGTCCATATTTTTGCAGTTTACGAAAGGATAGTGTGTTATACAGATTTCATATCAAATTAGAAATGTGTTTTGACATTTTTGGACCATCACAGATCATGAGATTCAACTGGAGGAGCAGATTTGTTTGGTCAGTAAGAAGAAGTCACTTTGCAAAAGAATTACTGGCTTTCAGGTTAGTAGACATCACCCAGATACTAATTACTTCTTTATTAGTTCTGGATAGCAATGTAATAAGATGCTGATAAATCATGTTACTCCAATGCAGTTTCTACCACAAGACCCAAGTAAAGTGATTGTTACTTGTGCGGACTCCCTAGTAAGAATCCTTAGTGGGATCAATGTGATTGGCAAATACAGAGGTATGCTCCCTTCTCGAGTTTTAGACGATGACCTATTATCCCTACTAGTTGATAATGCAGCTGTCTACAAATATGGGACCTGCAGTCGACTTAATTTTTTTTACGTGTAGTTAATTGGATATCTGGTGGAGTTTTTTCTCTTCTTTTTTAACTTTCTGCTACTTTATTCTCTAGGCCTAAGAAATGCAGGAAGCCATCTCTCTGCTGCTTTCTCCTCAGATGGGAAGCATATCATCTCTGCATCTGAAGATTCTAATGTCTATCTGTGGAACTGTCACATTCCAGAAGAGACTTCTGTGTCTCAACCTGAAGCGGTGAGATCATTTGAGTTCTTCTATAGTGATGCATCCATTGCAATACCTTGGTCTGGCCTGAAAAATGTCAACCACGAGAATCAGTGTCACTCACAAGTGCTGAGTCAAAGCTTAAACAATTTTCCTTTGGGGGTTTCTCCTTGTTTCTCTTTAGGACAAGGGTTGTTTTTAGAGGCAATTCCGAAGGGATCTGCCACCTGGCCTGAAGAGAAGCTTCCACTGTCAAGTCCTCGGTCTGTGCCTTCTGCAATGTGTAAATCTCAATACAAGTTTCTCAAAAGTTCTTGCCAGAGTTCATCCAGTTCTCATGCCTGGGGTTTAGTTATTGTTACTGCAGGCTATGATGGGCGAATAAGGTCATATCATAATTATGGACTGCCTTCACCACTTTGAGAAGTATAATTTCAGGATTTTCAAGGAAGTGAAAGTTATCTCCTCTTTTGACACCTGCTTTCTGGATTGCAGAAACCCTTTGTCATGGAACTACTCGACAGAGTTCAGTGCTGCAACGAGAGCTCCATATGAGAAAGGATGTTTGACCGGCCCCTTTAGGTACTTACAAGTCATGTCAGAGTTTGCTTGAATATACCTGATCTTGCCACTAGTTGGCACCTAATTTTAGTTTATTAGCGCCATTCATCCACCAACTCTGGAAGGAAATGAATATTTTATGAGAGGTCAACATAACATGCTTATCCATATGAGTTGCCTGCGGGGCCTTTCATTATTCTACTTCCTTGTTATCTAAATGAGATCAGGGAAGGAGCTAGTGGCTATAATTTTCTCTAGGCGAAATGGTGGGGAACATCATCTTTTATGACATGCTGGCTGTTCTGAATGATTGAATTGTTGTCTGCCATACAGTCAGTCCATTGAAGATAGGAGTAACCACAGGTTGATTGTGAGGAAGGTGGGGGCCGCTTCCTGCTGAATTGGAGTGTCGTAGCAGCTGTACGTGCACGAGATCTCAGTGCTGATGTCATAACTAATATGGTAAGAATGCTTCGGGGCTGGTGCTCTGCTCTACCTCTGGTTGGAACAGCGCCTTTTCTGGTAAAAGAGGGAGGTTCATTACAGAGATGGTGCTGGTAACATGGGTTTTTTGGGGGGCACGGTTCTAAACTCGGTGGATAATGTGTCCAATCCTCTACCCTTCTCCACTTGAATACTTAACTTTTGTAACATGTGCTTAATCCAACACGTCACATGTTATGCTCTTACCACTAGATCAAAGTTTGGGGGCAAGGCTGCTGGTAACATAGTTACACTAACATAGATGGCATTTTCAAATTTACAGCTCCAAAATTGTATTTAGTAGCATCACAATGTTGGTTCAACACGTGAGAAACAACAAATGTGATTTCATTGATTAGTTCTTCTGTATAAAAATCAGTAGTTATTAGTGTATGTATATGTATAGAACTGACTGCTCTTCCTTCAAAATTGTTAATAGCAGCTGACCCCCTTGCTTTGAGATTCAACGATTTTGCTTCCAAGTATCATTATTGTAGTCTTTGAATTAAGAGAAATTGGTTAATTCCTTGATGAATTTTGGTGACTATGAGCCAATTTGCATGCATGTTGGAGCTAATACACACTATAAATCTTATATATAGAGGGCGTTCAGCTAAGCTAATAAATTGGTTGTGGTTAACCAATTTATAGTCATGTTTTAGCTTTATTTATGTGTTTGTTAAACAATAAAGTACTTAATAATCAAGTGTTCATAAGTCAAAATCAGCCAAAAGTCATTAGATAATCATCTTCAACTTGTAATTTTTCAGTTTATTAGAACTTTTCGTTTGACTAAGTATTTTATTGTTTTATCTTTAATAGTTTTTTCCAAACCAAAACTCCCAACTTCTTCTTCACTCTGTATGTGCCGTTTCTGTCTTATTTATAAGATTCCTTCTAAACTTATTATAACTTCTGTAAAAAATTAAGAACTTTTAGTTATTCTAATATAAGAATAGATCAACATTTTTACATCAAACTTACAGAAGTAACTAATTTCCAAAATTCATTTTTACTTTGAAATAGAAAAACTATTTTTTTCCAAATACTCACATTTTTCATCGCCAAAACACCCCCTTGCAGTCGCAGAAGTTTTAATGCCTGAACTAGTAGAGTCAAAGCACATATACTTAGCATAACTCATTACCTGTTGGGTTTTATATGGTTCATGATGAAGTTTTCCTAAATAAAGTAATGAAAGCTAAATTTATTTTTAAAATAACCCTAGGAACATAGAAGTTGTAGCGCCCGAAAACTTGACAAGATCGTGTTGCCAATGCTTCTGAGGGCCAATTTTGCACTGTTAACTTCAGAAACATAAAGTACAACAGCCTCTCACTGGCATTTGCTATTTTCCTAGAGCAAGCAAGACACTTGGTAAAGAATGTCAAGGTAAAGGAACAATAAAAGGCGTCTTTCGTGCTTAAATGTTTGACCTTGTAACAAAAATGCCAACGGACAAACACCTCATACAACACTTCAAGGGGAAAATCAGTCTATAAGGGAAAAAAATAATATTACAGTTGATACCAGAATTACATTTCCATTTCCTCTGTTTGGAGCCAGGGGATTAATATGACGAAGTTGGTGATGCCAGTTCTGGGAAAAAAAACGGAAAGAAAGGTTGCATCATAAGCTATCCAGTAGAGATCGGGCTGCAAAATCTTGACAATGACAAAATGCAAAGAAGCAAACATCATCAGATCAGGAAATTAACTTTTTCTTTTTTGGTGTCACAATATAATATGGGCCAAATCAAGACAACTTCTAGACATGGAAAGCACTACTTGTTTTTTGAATGTTAGAAACATGGAAAACACCACTTAAGTTGCCGTCTTGCACCTGATATAGTTTATCAGGCATATGTCCTAATGTCAAATATGTTAAGTCTGATTCTCGATCAAGAAAATTTAGCATTTGTAACAAGTCTTTTATAGATAATAACCAAATGTCTTTTCGAACAAGCTCTTCCTAGAGCCTATGAACATTCAAACAGTAGTTAGGTGATTGATTTGGACAAGATATCTGGATGTCAGCAACCGTGCGTCCCAGGTTTTCCCTAACATGTACATAGAAATCTGTGAATCACTTATAATAAGAAAAGATTTGTTAATCTTTCTTCAAGTTTGGTATTTAGACATTCCAACCATAAGGATTTCACACATCAAAGCATTCAACATATTGCCAACTGTCTAAAAGCTTCTTGACTTTGAGACTAATTTTCGCTTAACAGGCATAATTCTAACGCACCAACCATAAAAGTTTCAAATTAATCCCTGCAGAAGATCCCGTCGCAACTTTCCTAGTCCAACTCAGTTCTTTCACTACTGAGAATCTGAGATCATAAATCCAGGGTAATGTTAGCCGGGAGACATGCAAGTTCTCTGATAAACAAAATAATAAGGATGTAGTTCATCTGCAATACATTTCCCAATGATCTTATACTTAAACTAAGAAGTCAGATAGATTTAACATCTATGTGAGTTGAACTCTTTTACGCTTCATTGTGCAAGCTCCATGTGTTACGATGTCATAACCGTTCGATGATCTTGGGAATGGAGTTCCTAAGCAAAACATTTGGAAGTAAATAATAAATATTTTATCTTTTTCTACACCACAGGAAGCATTGGGCGATTAGGCACTAAAAATGACACAAGCCTGCCCTGCCAATTTTCTAACAGCCAGCCCAAGTTAGTTTTCCACGAAATCATCGTTCCATTTGTTAATAAATCCTATGTCCAACAAATAACCATGAAGTGCAAGACAACCAGTGGCAATGCATGTGTCAACATTGTACCAATACCAAGAGTAGCAGCTATTAACTTGATTCCACCTCTACAGTTCTCCATTAGTAGGATAAAACTACGAAAAACAACATGAGATAGCTCCTTTATAGATCCACTTAGCACCAAAAGTCTGCTAACCTTTTAACTCCATTCTCTTCATTTGTTCCTTAAACCTTTTTCCAGCAAGAGTACAAAATAAAACCTCCATTCACGATAGGTTTTCAGTTGATGAAGTAAATAACCTTTTCCCTCTCTTTCCTACCAAGAACCCTAAGAGTCCATCCATCTGGCAGAAGAGGACCAAGAAAACAATTCTATTAGCATCTCTAACTTTGAAATCATTGTTGTGCAACAGACATCAATTTCCAGCTCATACAATAAACAGTAGAGTTGTTCTTTTGATAACCTGTAGATCATCGCTTTGAGGCATTGAAACATCCTTCTACAGAAATGTACGTGAAGGTCACGTACAATATGCATCCATTCTCTTCCTTCCCTTGTTTAGTACAAACTAGAGAGAACTCCTTAAACGGAGTAATACCTTTTCGTAGTCCAATTATGATGAATCATTTGAACACCATACTTGAATGGACATAGAGGATTTATATATACGACCCCAACCAATCGTAGAACTCATAGCTGAATGTTTAATTGTTTAAAAAAAAACAAATACTAAATTCAATAACATCTGTGCAATGTATTCATACAAACACACACATAATCACCTACCAAAGCAACATATATTGAATTAACTTTGATAAAGGCAAGAGATCCAAATTAATAAGATATCCGGATCACCTATCAAGCAACATACATTGAACTAACAACAAAAAAAACAATCAATATATTCATCATTACTCCTTTTTCCCCCTAAATTGGGGAAGGCAAAAGCCAACCAACAGATCTACTATATGTAAAATCAGAAAAGAAGAAGATGTAAAATATGAAATTACCAGAAAATTTAAACAGGGAGGTTGTCAACGGAATGAGAATTGTTGGTCCTAGGGCAAGGATCAACATGAGAAGGCAAATTGTTCATAAAAAGAGGGCGATCTTTAGCTTCTTCCTCTTCCTCATCATCAGAGGCATAGGTTGTGAGATTGACACAAGCACATCGTTCCAACGAGGCGAAGAATGCCGATGCGACACTCGTGCCGAACCACCTCGCCAGGCCGTCAATCTTTTCGCAGGACATTATTCTCTTTGATTTATTTATTTTTGGTTTTCGTTCGTGTCTCACCTAGCTCGATCTCCAGTCGAGCGAGGAGAAGAGGGTCTTTCTTTGGCCGGTTTCAGGGAAAAGGAACAAATGGAGGAGAGATAGCCGATAGGCGAGGAGTGAGGAGAATGGTCAATAATCCATTACCTCTCACCTGACATTTTTCCTCATTATTCTAATACCCTCCAACTTTGCGTTCAATGTTGGGTTGGGCTGTCAATACCATGATAAATTGTCATTGGTAGGACCTTCACTTCAAATTAACTTTATTGCATTGTAAAAACTTTAAACTTTATATGCTAGGTTTAGATATTCATGTATTATTATTATTATTAATATTTTATTTTACATAAAATAATATAGATTACCTCATAACTTATAAATTTATATATGTATTAATTATATGACTTTTTAAATTGTAAAATCAAACACTATAGTAATTTTATACATAAATAACTTACCACCTAACTAGCTACCAAAAGTGGTGTCACATAATCTTGTATTACACATTTCCATACTAACTAGCAAGTGACTAGGGCTGCATATCGATCGGTTCGGTTCGATTTTGAAGTTTATCGATTTGACTTATCCATTATCGATTTGTAGATATGCTAAACCGATATAGAACCATTAAGATATTGACTTATCGGTTATCGATTTATTGGTTATTGGTTATGGATCGTTATCGATTTAACTAGGGGCGGAGCTATAGCCACCTTCGTTGGAAAATTACGTTGTATATATATGTCAAATTCTACATTTAAAAGATATATATTTAAAGTTGGACACCCCTAACAAAAGTTATGTCTATGATATAGTGGTAATTTGTGTCCATTTGAATGAAGGAGTTCTGGGTTTGAACCCCAAATAGAATTATATTTTTTTATTTTACTTTGACAGTCACACACCATTATCTTGGACACCCTTGATAAATTTCTGGCTCTGCCACTAGGTTTAGTAGTACGATTTGACACGATTATTTTTTATTTAAAATCACTTAAAAATAAAGTGACAAACCAAATGAACAATGTGGATGAGTTGACAAATTGCATATAGCTTAAAAGTAAACACTAGCACATTGTAGAATAATTGAGAGTTTGAGACATCTAGAAATAAAAATATGAAACTAAGCGCTAAATCAAGAACTTTATTTACCAAATGGTATAAATATATTTTATTAATTTACTATCGAGTTATCAGCTAACCCGTTAAGAAAACACCTCAAACAGTTAAGAGCCGATAACCTGATAATAAAAAAGATCAAAAACATTATTAAAACCGCTAAACCAATAATATATTTTCGATTTAGATTATTGATTTCAGTTCGGTTTTGAACAAACACTACAAGCAACTCCTAACGTTTGATGAACTTGCCTGTGCTATAAAAACTACACAATAGAGAAGACATGAAGGCGCATCTGGTGTAGTGGTATCATAGTACCCTCCCACGGTACTGACCGGG